GTCTGGTTCTGTGTTTGTGACATTGAAGAGTATAGTGTCGTGGACTCACTATATTGCAAGTCAAGCCAAGCATCGAAACCCAAGACCGAACACCCACTGTTATAATGTGATATGACACTGTCGGTCCTTCTCTTCTGTGGACACTAAAGCAAGGAACTTCATGGGCCCTCCATTAAGCGCGTGATGCAACCAAGTCTGTTCTGGCACAACTCGCCAATTGCTTCCATCGATGCTGATAGCCTGCAGCAGGAGATCCGCCTCTGCCGGCTTTTCCAACAAGAAAGGCTCAGAGATCCAAATCCGCCTCTGTATTGACAAAGCCCTCTTGTTTGCAATGCATGTGCCGTCTTTCCCACTACTTGTGATGTACATCATGTTGCACAAGGCCGTACCACACAAAGCAGCAGCGAGTCGAGCCTGCACGGGAGCTGCATCGAGTCTCGCCACCACGTGATAATCACTAGAAAGAACCTCCGACTCTTCAGACAGAGTGAACTTTTGGCGTGTCATTGCTGAAGCCATGTCGTCAAGAGCATGTTGTGCATTCCCCAAATGCAGATACACGCTAGCATCAACAACCATCGCAGGCCTTTTGGCCAGACGGCGCATCTTCTCGAATGCACGCCGGTGCTCATCTTCTTGCTTCTTTCGCTTGGATTGCCTGGCTTGCAGATCCTGGCACAGGGCCTCACCATCGTCACCAATTTCCGTCTGCAGCAAATGGTCTCGAGCATAGGCTTCCAGCCTGGCATCCTTGGCCAAGCTTTCCAGAACTTTCATTTCCTCATCGTGTCCAGGCTGCCAAAAGCGACGACCAACCCCAGCTGCGTCCTGTAAGACATCGCGGCAGCAGCACGCAGTGCCGAGCGTCGCTGGTTTTGCCATGATGTCTCCGTTTTGGCATTGCTGCTAGCACTTGGTTCGCGCCGAAAGCGATCTTTGATGGTTTTTCGAAACTCGTGGAAGCGAAGTGTCCAGATCTGCTCGCATATCGTCTTGAACCCTTTGCTCATGCTACTTTCTGCTGCGAGCACCACACGCAGGAGATGCTCTTGCAACGACGGTTGCATGTGCATCCGGTAGTCACCCAAGGTGCGCACGAAGGTAGAAAACGATTGCTCCACACCACTTGTAGTGAAGCCATTAAGACACTGGTAGCGGCAAAGCACGACATCGATCAAGTGTGTTGGGTGATGACTCAATCTTTTGTCTTTCAGCTTAGACCTGGCCAATCTCCACGCCTCTGCGTTGGACGCAGCTTTGCCCGCCCTCAGCAAATGCAGAGCATTCCGTCGCAAGTTCATGTATTGTCGAAACAACTCCTGTTGATTGGGTCCATCCACTGCCACACCGAAGGCCTGCGAGAGGCGCAGCAAGCTTTCCTGTCGTGCTTTTTTCATGGTGTCCGCATAATTCCCCGTCTGCTCTGCAGCCTCAAGGCTGTCCCCCAAGTTGAAAACCGACATACTGTTCACCAGGTCGTGGTTGGGAAATTCTGCAGCAATACGGGCATAAACCAGCTTTACCCAATTGCACATGCGAGCAATGCAGCGGTCGATAAGATCAAGAGGAATGCTGTCAGGACCACCCAGGACTTTCAAGACACCATGCTTCAACACTGCTGTTTTTTCTTTAGCTCTCAACAAAGCTATGATGTGAGTCGTGTGACCCGGGCACTGCAACACCTCTCGTTGAACAAAAAGCGTGTCCAGTCGGTGTTTAAACTGTGTCAACGTTTCGGCCACGGAAGCGGAGTCGAAAGTCTCCCTGTCGAAGAATCGCACTAGGTCAAGGGTCTCGGCTGACCCGTCTGCTAACATCGCCAGCTGTAGCAAAGACTCTGCGCTGCTTTCGGACAAGAAGGAATGTGCCCTCTCGCCAGGGCGAGTTCCCTTTCGCTTGTTCCACACATCGATCCCGCATGCCCAGACAGAATCGAATAGTACGATAAAGCGCGAGAGAGGCCGCGTCATGGAATCGAATCGGTGTGCCGCCCATCCGAGGTTTCGGACTGAAAATGGAGCGTTGTCATCGCTCAGCACAGCAACTTCGAACAAATGTTTCAGGTCTGCGGAGTATTGGATCAGTGCCGTCATAGATTCCGGTGACGTGATGTATTGGTCTAAGACTGATTCCAAATAAGGGTCCGCCCGCCATGCGTTTCGAAGCAATCGGCGTGCTGCATGCGTTGGATCCCTGTCAAGCAGTCGCACATTCGTCAGCAAGTCTTGCTCCGCAAATCGCATTGTGAGCTGTTCATCACTTGCACCATCAGCCTGCAAAAATTCAGCATGCTCGCATATGTGCTGTCGAAGCTCATGATCCATGTCACCAGAATCACAATCTAGCGTACAAAAGCTGCCAATCACTTTGTCCATCGCTTCGACGAGATCCAAGCTTTTTGTGCCAGCATTATGACAAATGCCGAGCACACCGTGACGACAAAGCTGTGAGTCTAGCGAAACTGCAGAGTATCGGATGCACAACATGCCAGCCCGGACGTCTTGGTATAAAGCCAGAACATCAGAATCCCGGAGAAATTCTTGTTCCTCTGCAAGGCATGCGCATCCCATGACCTCAACAAGTCGACCAGCACGTGACTTTGAACCCACGTCATCATCTGCCAGGCTTCGAAAAGAATGACCCTTTCTGCAGCCGTCCCATGTCTTCTGCACGGCAGCATGAAACTGCTCACGGTTCAAAAAACAGCTTTCGTCTTCAGGTCCTTCACTCTGCAAACCCAAGGCCTTTAAATAATCTTTCACAGCCTGTTTGTGCACCTTACACGTGGAGCTGTGTCGCTGCACATGAGTCAAGTGAAAGCTTCTGACGGTAGGCTGAAAACCGGTGGCCCAGGCGGTGCTTCTGCTACTGCCATCCTTCGAATCCTTCAGCCTGGCGCATACCGAACAAAACACGAGAAAGCGCCCATTCTGCATTCTGCCTGAGAGCCAGGTGCCCAAACTGGTCTGGGAAGGGTCGATGAACAATTTCCCCTCCCACTTCAATTTCAGTCTGCAAAATTCTTCCTGAGTCAAGCAGTCCTTTTCACACGGACTCTCCAAGGCTGCAGCACTGTTGCCACGTGGCAGTGACGGTGGCTGTGACACAGCACTTGCCACTGGTGGCTGTGACACAGCACTTGCCACTGGCAGGCACCACTCATCATCATCATCCATTGTGCACTCTAAAAACAGCTCATGACCTTCTTTCTACACCTCACTCGAAGATCTGTGGTACTACTTTATTATGGAAAGTCTCGTCCATGTCAACTGCTAAGATATTCCACTTGCAAACAACAAAATTGGCTCCTAGCATACACACGCCCAGTTGGACCTTGAGCACCATGTTTCAGTTCCATAATGAAGAAATGTTTCCGCTTCCCGAAGAATCTCCCGATCGATGGGCATTGCAGTGATCTATGGGGGATGGGGATCAAGGGCTGTACCGCCATTTGGGGCTTCTAGGGTTGGGGAACGTGTGGGGGAAACAGCATGTCATTGTGGTGGGAGAGGGGCCGGAAGGGGTAAACGAATCCTGGGACATCGGCTGTAGCTCCTTCAATACTTTCCTTTAATTACAACTAACACCCCAAAGGATTCCCTAGGAAACGCATGGGCCTGGTCGGCTCCAGGGGCATGTGCAATCTTCCTGCACCACAAAACAAGATGGAAATAATAGGATAGGGCACATACTGCTGCATTCAGTTGCTGACGCTCGTCAATACCGCTGGTCTGTTTTTATTGAATGCATCGTACAGACGATTTGCACCCTCTCGGCGCCGCACAGTTTAACCCGTCCTCTCGCATTGGCATCCAACAGAGATTAAAAGAAGTCTTTTCAGCAAGACGTCTGAGATTCGAGAGAAATGCGGTTCGATTATTACAGGGATTCCTTCGGAAACCCAGGTGCCTGCTCGGCCACTTCCACGTCCGTCGGCAATCTCCTGCACCAAAACAAAAACAGACAAGTGCCTCGACACATGGGTTTGGATAAGAGCTGTCTCACGCTGCTGTGAATGCGAATTTTGTGCTGGCACTCTCCCAATGTAATGCCTCTGTTGGCACTCTCTCAGTGCCGTCTGTGCAGATGAATTGAACATTCAACTGCCGGCACTCTCTCAGTGCCGGCGTCTGCACTCTCTCAGTGCATTTCGTGACTATGATTTGGAATGTTGGGACAACTATTATTATACTTTGTACACAATACATTTGCAAGTAAGATTAAGTTAAAGCCCCACAGGATCCCGCACGTGCCTGCTCGGCTCCACTTCAAATTCTGCAATCTCCTGCAGCAAACAAGAGAAACATGCATGTGCTCTGAACAGTGGATGTGGATAAGAGCTATCTCATGTCAAGTGCTGACTCTCCCAGTCAGTGCCTGTCATGCAAATCCTGCGCACCCTCTCGGTGCAGATGTGCAACCTGCACTCACAAGACTCGAGAGACAGAAAAAGACAGAGAGAGAGAGAGAGAGAGAGAGAGAGAGAGAGAGAGAGAGAGAGAGAGAGAGAGAGAGAGAGAGAGAGAGAGAGAGAGAGAGAGAGAGATCAAATTTGCGAAAAATGAGACAGAGAGAGTGTCTGTCAGAGAGAGAAAAATATGGTGGTGTCGATGCATGACCAGGCATGTTTCAAGTTCCAGCTGCCAGCACACTCACCCCAACCTGTGGTTCAGGGTCGACTGTTTTACAAGGGGGGGTAATTTACCCCCCTCCGTAAAACACTCGGGGGCGCTCCCGAGTGTTTTACGGTGGGGGGTAATCTACAACTCCCCCGGGGCGGGGACTTTGTAAGCTTACAAACTCTCAGGGGCGCAGCATCTGTAATTTACCCTCCCTGGTAAAACACTCGGGAGCGCCCCCGAGTGTTTTACCGAGGGGGGTAAATTACCCCCCCTTGTAAAACACTCGAAGCCGGCTCACAGAGAGGGTGCCGTTTTCCAACTGATCCACTGCATCAGTGTGGGTCATGCCACCTCAGCTGAATCTTTGCAAGCCTTCTACCAGCTCAGCATAATGGAGCCCAAAAGGTGAGTCATCACATTAACACTCATGGCATTTCCAGCCAGGTGCCCCAGCTGGTGTGGCGAAATGCAAGTCATGTCCATACCCTCCGGGTCTGCACCTTGTGCACGGAAAAGCTCAGACATGGTATGATAGCGGTTCAACCTCAAATTGAAATAGGCTCGCTGTTGGCAACGAGCGGCCGTAAGAGTTGGAAAGCAATCTTTGTAAAAGCGTGCATCACTCCGCCCATGCTGGGTGTCCACGATGATGTGGGATGTCCAAGGGCACTCACCCGTTTTCTCGAAGTGGCTGAGGACTGCGCCCAGGCACTTTTGTCGTGTCTTGGAAGTCGAGTTCGCAAGTTCAGGGCTAATCTCTGAAATGTCCTTGATCGGTCGAGGCAGCTCTCTCGAATCCAAAAGATCTGCAATGTCTGGCTTCTGATTGAACGCCTCCGGGAACTTGAAGCCTTTGTCTTCGTCGGCGAGGAGGCCGACGACGTAGAGCCTGCTGCGGTTCTGGGCCACTCCATAATGACACGTCTGCAGGACTTTGCGGTATATATTGTACACCGGCAACCCATCCTCATTTTTCAGACCGCCCAGATCATCCATGGTCTGCCTGAAAATATCCGAATTGCTCCACGAAGCCACGTTCTCCAGTATGAAGGCCCTAGGCTGAGCTTGACAGATGTAGGTCTTGATCGGCTGGATAACATGGGCTCTGGAATCATCATCTCCTGCATTTGCACCCTCCGGAGAAAATGGTTGACAAGGAGGGCCTGCCGCAAAAATATCTACCTTCTGCTCGTTCATGAAGGCATCATGGAACACATCTCGATGAAACCGCTCGAAAACGACATTGTGGCGCAGCCATTTCTCCACATGACGGTCACTGTCACAGAGGAAGGAAATTGTGTGTGGCACCTCTAAGTTGGTAAGTGCCTGGGATTCGCATGACCACCCCGAGCAAGCTGACCCAACTAACAGCCCTGGCTTTCCACAGTGCTGGAAGGCCTTCTGCGGCAAAGGCAGCAAGGAGTCATTCGTCCCTTCCAGATTATCGCGGCCATTGACACAGCGACTCCTCGGCTGCCTTGTGCCAGAGTCATTGGATCCAACTCTTGTCAAGGCCCGATGCCTCTTGCGAGGCATAAAGGCCATCACCTGGTCTTCATCGTCCATGGCGGGAGTTAAGATACATCTCGACCGCCTAGTGAAGTCAAACACTGCAGAGCAACATCAACAGCTGGCATGATGACGCCATGCCATGACGACACAGGCTGCAGCCAACTCAACTAGGAATGAAACACGCAACTAGCTTGGCACCGGCTGGTTTAACTATGATGGAAGCGAAAGCACTCTCTGGACCTGTCGCAGGCGCTGCATGCACTTGTCTTTCATCTGCAAGCTCTCCTTGTCTGTTGCTCTGCAACGCATCTGAAATGGCATCCTTGGCCCTCTGCAAAACCAAGCTTGTGAACAAAAGTGCATGTCAGCAGGCGCCACGAGACTGACTGTGTGAACCTAACAGTCGCGTGCAAAATTGCTTCTGCTGCATGAGGAAAACGTGTTCACTTCTTACCGGACAGCTCCTGCAGCCGTGCCCTGAGCTTGGCGTGGGTAGCATCCTTCTTGTCACCGTCTGCCGACTCTGGCTCAGCAGTTGCTTTTCTCTTATTAGTCGATGACTCCTCCACAGTCACGGCCGGGGATGGATTCGGCGGTGTCGTTGCAGCCGCAGCCTTTGCCTTCGGCAAGGGTTTTCTGGCCATGCCAGGCACCTCCAGAATCTTGGCAACCTCCGCGCAGTAGAGACTGTGGCCTTCCGTCAGCATGTCCTTAGCAACCATCGTGGCCAATCTTTTCATGAGCAGCTCCTTGTGGGTTTCCGTGTAGGCTACGGCAACGTACGGAATGCCCAAATCCATGGCCTTCTTGGCTGCGACATCTGTGGGTGTCCAGTCCAGCAGGGCATCAGCCCAGCACTCGCTTCGAAGAAGCTCCTCGAGCAGCACAGGGGAACTCATATGCCAGAACACGGGCTCCTGGTCATCGTCCTTGTTGTACAGCGGCTCTCCGTCCGTCTGCCCTCCCACTGCAATCCTCATCTGATTCCCGAAGATGGCCTTCTTGGTCACCACCGACTCAGACCACGCAGCACTCACATCCGGCAACGGTACCCCAGTGAGGATGTTGCCTGAGCTGGTCTCACCCTTCAGGTGCCCAGCTCGGCGAGGGCGTCTCTTCTGCTTCGAGGCCGCAGAAGACGTGACGATGTGCACTGTTTCCAGCTGATTCAGCTGAGCCGTTGACTTGAACTTCTCCAAGCGAGCTGCCAAATCGCTTTCTTTGTAGGCAACATAGAGGCTTTTATGGTGTTTTGCCATCGATGCACCAGCCTCATTGACGAAGCAATTGAGAATTGCTCGTTCGTTGCCGGTCTTGCCGGCATCCGTGATGGCGAACATCGCGTTGAAAGGCAGCTCAGCACCAGAGCTGAGAAAGTTGCACGTGGCCTGGATTGCGGTTTTGACCCTCTCCACCTTCAGCGGCGGCACTCTGAGATGCGGGCATGTGATGCTCTCACCCGCTGTCTTCTGATCGTACAGGACCAGAGTCAGGAAGTCTTTGGAGGCCACCCGGGACCCAATGGGGGACGACTTCAGCTCCTCCTGCAGAACAGCTTGGCGCTCAGGCTCCACGATGATCTTCACCGCAGCCCTCACTATACGTGAGGCCTTGGTCTCCAAGTCCTTGATCAATCCAATCTCGTCTTCGCTCAAGCTCTTCAGATGCTTGGCAAGCAGGGCCTGGTCGTGCTGGGCTTTGGCCAGGTCCTTAGTCTGCCAAGCATTCAGCCGGCCCCCCATCATGGAAGCTTGAATGATCTGGCCCACCTGGATACTCTCCTCCGTCCCCGTCAATGCCTCCGAAAGCTCATGCTTCGGCTCAGGGGCGTCCCCACGCTCCTTTTGCCAGCCGGCCTTGAATGCTTTGAAGTCCACGGAGAACTCTTCACGGTCTGGCAGATCTACTGGCTTCGCGCCAGCAGACAGTGCACACTTCAACTTTCGGTCGTGCTTCTTCGCGAAGACACACTCCTCAACGAAGGTGATGTACTCCCGTGTAGTAGGCGAGAACCGTGCAAGCCAGGAAAGATCAACGGTATCACGCTCGTCATGGCAGCCGAAGTGTTGCCGATAGTCAGCAAAGCTGTCAAAGGCCTTTCTTAGAGTCTGCCTCTCCTCTGGGGGCACAGCTGAGCCTGCATCCTCAAGCCATGTTGACACAGCCAAGTTCTTGAACCCCAGCTTGAAAATGAAGAGGTCCACCGTGCCCTTGTTCGATGGGAGGCCTTGGCCTTTCAGATTCCGCGTGGTACAGCTGGAGATTTGCAGCATGTCGTTCTCGGTTTGGTCCTGAATCCCAGAAATGCACCAAATCAGCTTTTCCTTCGACCCTGGACCTTGACCGCATTTCTTGCAAACTTCCTCAAGTTGATAAATGCTCGACCAGACATTATCTTTGCCGTTCTTCTCCTCGCCTTGCAAGATGATCTTCTGCAGCTCTTCAATGCACAGAATCCTGTTGTAGACTGTGAGGCAAGAGTCGACGAACGATTGCCGGAAAGCCCTCTCTCCGGTTGCCATTGTCGAGAATTGCACGTTCGCAACCCACTTCTGGTACACTCCCGCTGCACTCAAGACATCGTTGGGGTTGCGACGCTCGTAGTCCAGCTTGAATTGGATCACCTCGTACGCTCGCTGGATGCAGGACCGATAAAACACGTCAAAGGACGTCCCTATGTCCTCTCTCAAGTTGATGCATCGCCAGTACATCTCAGTCAATGACGGCACCAGCTCCACTGTCATCGTCCATGACTTCGCAAGAGCAAGCCACTTTTCCAGCTCAGCCTCACCAGGCTCCGAGGCCAAGACATTGTCTAGCTGGAAGATGAAAGCATAGAGCTCCTCATCAGGGCTGAGAAGCCGCAGTTTACCACGCATGTTAAGCACCTCCTCACCCTCCAGGATGCCCACATGCACCGCTCTTCGTTTCTCAAAAGCCAACTGAGGAGTCTTGAAGGACGAGCTTTGAAGCTTCAGGATGGATTTCCTGTTCACCGGAATGCCTGGCACCAAGGACATGTAGGGGTCAATCCAGAAGATGTTGCCGCCTGCTGTGTACGTGGGCTTGAAGCCTTTCGCGATTGCGCCAGCCTTCACCCGACGCCATGTGTCCTCGGAAAAGGGCTCCACTGATGCACTGCTGTCAGCAGAGATGTCCAAGGCTTCCAGCACTTGAACGCCGTTGAACAGCGGGTGATCCGTGATCCGCTGCAGGCTGCCCTGCAAGTCAGCATAGAGGTCTTTGTTCACACCGCTTTTGAGATCATCTGCCACAGGCATCACCACCGGAGGCGATGCAGCTGCTGCAGCGGGCTTAGCCGCAGCCTTAACCTTAGCCTTAGGCTGCTTTTTGCCTGCCATAGCCGTGACGAGTCTGCCACGGTGACTTGCTCGTCACTTGTGCCCGGATTCTGCGACACTTCATTGTCATTGAAGCGTTTGTGCTGAAAAGTTGCGACAGAACAGTCAGAGGTCGGTCCTTGCGATGGCCCAGAAGCGGCCAGCCAGCAGACACGTCAGGCCGAAGTCCCAGCCTGGGCCGAAGCAGAACAGAAAGGCTACTAAGCAAGCAAAGAAGCGGAAGCCGTGGAACACGGGCCGAGTTATGACCAGATCAGATCGCCAGTGGCTACATGTACCAAGACAAGACATGGAGCTTTTCTATGGTGTGCTCTTGTATTGGAGTGGGCCTGTTTACGCACTCTGTGTCTTTTTGGCATTGTGTACGTCACGCCGGGCCTCGGAGATCCTCAACCTACGTGCATGTGATATCTTTACTGAAGGGGGGCCGCATCACGACAGGCCCTACGTACTTCTACTAAAGCGCACAGACACGGGTATTATCAAGCCCGGTATGGGTAAATTGGGATGTGATGAGGTAGCTGCAAGGATATCACAAGAGGCTGTGGCCACCATTGAATCGATACGAAGGAACGGCCTGGAACGAGTCCAGACTGAGGCCGTGGCAAAGTACTCGCAAAAAATCATTGATCTGAACCTTCAGAAGAAGTCCTGCCCGGCCCCAGGCAGGTACGACTGGCCAAAGGAGTCTGATGGATTGCTTTTTCCATCGTTGCAAACCGGAAGCTCAGGTAGTACAGCCTGCTTGACAAGACAGTCAGCCTGGAATGCGATCAAAAGAACCCGCGAAATTATGTTTGCACTCACGGCCAAGAAGCGGTACCAGCCTACTGCTCAATTTAGCCACGTTACTTTACACGGGGCTACAAGGCACTCTTCGGCAGCATTGTTTCTAGAGAAGCCTTCGTCAACTGCTTCAACTCAGCAAAGACCCAGTGTCGAATGCATCCTCGAGATCCAAAACAGACAAGACCGCAAGACGTTCGAGAAGCACTACTTCCACTTGGGAGAGGAGGAAATGGACGACGCCGTAGCCTATGCTAGTGTTCCCAATCCATTTTCAACTCGTGGCAAGGCATCCTTGTCAACAGGTCGCTACAGAATCAGAGTCAAGAGACCTCCACAGGCTCATGACAAGTAAAGGCCTGAACAGAGAGACTCCAAAGAGATGCCGATACCTCAGAGGACTGTGGCGCCTGTCACCGCAAAAGGTGTGAGGCTTTTGATCTACGAGGGGCTTTTGAACCCGAGGAGGCTTTTTTGACCGGCCTGTCACCGCAAAAGGTGTGAGGCTTTTGATCTACGAGGGGCTTTTGAACCCGGATGCCTTTTTGACCGAAGGGGGCGTCTGTCAAAAAGGGCTTCTCGGGTGGTCTTGGGGGGGCTTTGGGGGGCTTTGGGGGGGGGGCTTTGGGGCTTTTGGGAGCTCTTGAATGGGGCTGTTGGGGGCTCTTGAGCTGGCTCCTGTGTCGGTCCTTCGGATTGTTCAGGTCAATGATTCTTGGCGAGCACTTTGCAAAAGACCTCGGAATTCGTCTCAGAGTGTGTCAACAAAGCCTTCTGGGCGGGGGGCTCTTGTGTTTAGAGGGGTCTGTCTAAAAGGGGTGCTAAGCAGAGGTCTGTCACCAGCACGATTTGGGTGGCACCGGCAGTGAGCCCGGATGTCAATGCAAGAGCTTTGGGAGAGTATGCTTTGGCATCATGAGCACCGCGAGCCACGCAGCAGATTTCCAAGGCTTGTTCTTTGTTGCAGAGCCTGTCCCAGTCCTTCCCCAACCCCAACCACTGGGATGTCCAACCAAGGCCAGACTTGCTTGGCCTCAGCACGGGCGCTGGTTACGGCAGGCGGAGCACAGCCACAAACATGTGTGAAGCATCAATGCAGGAAATACTTGAATGTGATTGCTTGTGTCAACACGCAGCAGCAGGATTCCAGTGTAGACGTTCTTTTTCGCTGGAGCAGTTTACAGATTTCAAGAATCTGACATCAGAACAGGATCTTCTGTCTGTCTCCATCGTTCGGTAGCTATCTGCACAGATTTCCATCTACGTAGAATAAGTTCCTTTGTGGATGGAGCATCGCAGCTGCTAAGTGCAGCAATGTCGTGGGAGAAGCAAGGCTGGCAGGAGGCCGAGGAGGACCCCTGGCAGGAGACGAACTGGTGGCAGGAGACGAACTGGTGGCAGGACGAATCCTGGCAGGACGACTCCTGGCAGGACGACTCCTGGCAGGACAACCCCCGCCAGGACGACAACTCCTGGAACTCCTGGCGGGACGACGAGACGAAGGAGTCTTCGAAGTCTTGGAAAGACTCCGGGTGGAGCCACCAGCCTCGCCACAGCGGCGCCTCAGCCTCCTCTCAAGGCAGTGGCCGCAGGCCAGCAGAGGGCACGGCAGTTTGGAGAATCTGAACGCCCGGAATCGCCGGGAGATCAAGCGGTGGCGAGACGACAAGGATGAGCTCGAGAAGGCCCGGTATACCATCCAGCAGCAAGAAGATCTTATCGACAACCTGAGAGGATGTCTGTGGTGTGAGGAGGACAAAACGCAGCAGCTGACCGAGCGAGCAGACTCCTTGAAGAACACCATGTTCGAAATGGCAGACACGATCCAGGAGATGAGTGGGCAAATCGATGAGCTAAAAGGAGAGTCTGTGGAATCCATGCGAAGCCGCATGCAAGCCGAGGGCAAGGTGTCAGAACTCCAGCAGGAGCTGAAGAAGCAGAGGAGTCGGAGCAGCTTGGAGATGGGCTCTAAAGACCAGGAGTTGAAGGAAATGCAGGCAAAGCTCGACGCGCAGGATGCCGAGCAGAGCGATCGTCTCGGCAGCTTGCACACTGACTTCAAGAGGTACCAGGCCGGCCGGCCAATGTGCGTCGAATTGGAACATAAGATCTAGATTATAAACGTTCTACAGTTCCGTGACAACATGTTGTGCCAGGAGGTTACAAGAAAGGCCATTGCGGATTCCAAAGAGCAAGAGGCCGCTGGCACTTCTTTCGGTTTAAGATAAACAGCCTCCTGACAAATGAATCGTGCCAGGACTTTCTGGCAGTGAAGTTGCGGCGGATCGAGAAAGACAAGGCAACGAGATCATGCGAGAGTATTTGTGGAGCATCAAGACATTAATGTGTCCGTCCAGGCGAGATATGTGGAGCTCGTCGGCCAGTACGACGAGCACTGGCCAGACAAGGCCTCAAGACACAGTTGAATTTTCGATGCGCAGAGACGCCCGGATTTGCTCACAGGCACGCGGACGGAAACCGCAGCTACGAAGTCCCACGCCGACGCCGACAGAGGTGGCTGAGTCTGACTGAGGTCCGCTTGCACGAACCTGCACTCTTCCATAAGTGATGTGTCCATATCATACAGAGCATGCGAGCTACGATAGGGACCCTCAGATTCAGTCGCTGCAGGAGGGCCCTGGCAACGATGAGGACGAAGGACCTCCCGTGACCTCCCTGCGAAAGTGGCCAAAAAGACGTCAGAGTGGCACTGGGAGAGTGCAGAGCTTTGACTTCGACTTTGAGTGCTTGCGCAAGCGTGCTGCAACCTTCATCTTGATATCCCCTTGACTGAAGCCCTCGTCCGGTCGCAGGTGGCTCAGATGAGACAGCAGACCGTCGACTAGCTGGTGGAGGTCGGACAAGGACCCGAGCAGAAGTTCACTTGAGCTACTCAGTTGCCAGAGAAGACAGACAGTTGACACGGTGCACTGGGAGAGTGCGCATCACACACAAGCTTGCTTTCGACAGAGGGGAGGGTCAGGGGGCGAGGGAGGCGAGGAGCCAGGAGGAGGAGGAGCAAAGATATGGAGTGGCAGACTCCAAGCATCTGACATGCATGTGCCCGTCCAGGATCGGTACGTGCAACTGGCGGAGGAGTTTGAGGCTCAATAGCCAAAGAAGAAAAACAAGCCGGAGCTCCGTGATCTGACGCCCACACCGAGGCGACTGAAGTTGCCGAGACGAGCGGCGACGAGGACGCATGATTTCGTGATGAGTGATAGAGGAAAACTCATATTAAGAATTTGTTCCTGCAGGACTGAGGATGCTTGGCCTGGAGGGCATGGTGTGCCGCTCTGTGGAAGCAAACTTGAGCGAGCTCGATTTTCGACTGACATCAGGATTGAGTTTGAGCTGTGCTGCCAACGCTTCTCCCCACCAAAGACTTTCTCAGACATTCCTGGACGCAGGTAAGACACGACTGGTGTGGTGGCATCAAGGTGGCAAGCAGGGACCCCAGCATAGTAGTAATAGATCATCTCAACAGAGCACACAGTGAGCAGTGTTCACGATTAAAAGCAAGCTCGAAAGCACTGGGAGAGTGACTACTGTAACAAATACAGCACTGGGAGAGTGCTGACTACAAAAACATTGGGAGCATGCTGATTGTTAATACTTGATGCTGAGCGTCTGGCTGTCATTGCTGCTTTGCTTCAATTCCAAGCCTCAGCTTAAGCTCAGCTACTTGTCAAGTTTATGAAGCATCCTCACATCCCTACTAGTAGCACTTTCGTGTCATCAGTCAACGTATCAGACAAGCACTCTCGCAGTGCCCCCCGCCTGGCGCAGGACAATCAAAGGCACTCTCTCAGTGCCGTCCCAGGCACTCTCCCAGTGCACTGAAGCCGAGCTCTGTGAGGAGCACTCTCCCAGTGCTCCTCCTAAATTATTATTATTAACTAAATATGAAACTCTGTGATGAGCAGCACTCTCCCAGTGCTCCTCCTAAACCCTAATAATAACTAAACCCTAAACTCTAAACCTTAAGCCCTCCCCCCACCCCCAAACCCCAGTGCCATTGGCCTTGTGGGAGCTGTCGCTGTTGAAGACCAGCCGTGGGTTTAGGGTTTAGTTTAGTGGTTCAGGTGTTTAAGGTTTAGGGGTTTCGGGTTTGTGGTTTGCGGTTTAAGGGTGTAGGGTTTAGGGTTCGTAAGGGTTTAGGGTTCAAGTGTTCAGAGGTTAGAGTCTTTATAGGTTTAGGGAACGTTATACCTGGCACGTAGAAGTCAATACTTTGAGCTCGAACCAAATATGTAAAACCTAATTTGTATTCTGGATTGCCATCTAACGGAAATCTCATTCATTTCGCTGCGTTTTGCGCTTTGTAATGAATACTTGCTGCTATGTTTTGCAATCAACTCTGGCGAAGATACTAAACCTTAACTCGAAAATTTTTAAATACGCCTTGTGATTATGGTGTTGAAAAAAAATGTCATGTTTCAACAAAAAAGTCCTTAAAAGGTGGATTTACCACCCTTCAAACATTGTATTGGATGCTGGCTGCTGGCTGAGATTCTTCGGTTACGGGGTCGAAGTCGACCCCTGCGTTTTGCGCAGTTCAGGTCCGCCTCCTCCACGACATCACTATCAACTCTGGCGCTTAGGGGCGTTGTCGTAATTCAAACCCTAAGAAACACCAGCCCCTTTCCTTTAAAAAAAAAATCTAAAAAATCCAATCCAAAAAAACCAAAACCAAAAAAAACAATACCAAAAAAACCAAAAAAATCAAAAAAACAATTATTTCAGTGCTCTTCCAGAACAACATTAGAAATACACACGAATGGGAGAATTCTGAAATAATGTTTTTTTTGTTTTTTTTTGTTTTGGTGTTTTTGTTTTTTTTGGTTTTGTTTTTTTGGTTTCGACGCTGTGAGACACATTGGCTACATGACAAACAGTTCCATGAACCGCTGCGCGTTGTTCCGTACTCAAGCCTAGTATAGCCTAGTTCTATTTTCCGGTGACTCATATCTGCACAGCAGTCGCGATTCATGACAAGCTTCCGGTGGCCTCCCCAATACTTATTAAACTATCTTGATTGGAATGGACTGTAGTGATACAAAATGAAACTAACGTGCAACCTCTCACCAACTGAACTAGTATCATTCCAACCACTATATTAAGTAATCTCCTTAGTCTTGTACTCTACTAGCCTTAAACATTAGAAGCCACTGAGATGTAATAATGTAAGCCTTCACATAACATCACTAGAACACAAATGAAAAACTTAGACAACTTGCTTTGTATTAACCTCTACACAGCTAACCTAGACCATTCGTGATACAAAATGAAACTATCGTGCAACCTCTCACCAACTGAACTAGTATCATTCCAACCACTATATAATTAAGTAATCTCCTTAGTCTTGTACTCTACTAGCCTTAAACATAGAAACCACTGAGATGTAATAATGTAAGCCTTCACATAACATCACTAGAACACAAATGAAAAACTTAGACAACTTGCTTTGTATTAACCTCTACACACAGCTAACCTAGACCATTCATGCCATTGCCACTACCTATAGCTGTTCATCTAGTGTTCGTAAGTCGTTTTAATACTGCACAAGACAACATATATAATAGTCCTACTGGGGTAGCATTGATTGTACTTACTGGTAAGGCACAATGAAAAAGTGCAACAACATAATAAGAGTCATGAAAATCTATATCAATAGCAGCACTAATTACCAAGTATAATACCAGTTGAACCACCTATTGTAAACAGACTGTATGAAAGATATACTATAACAGTTAACATTAGTTGTGAAATAGTATCAGTAGACATGCATTACTTGTCCAGGGATGTAGAATACCAACTACATGATCGTAACGAACAAGTTGGTAATGATAATATAACCAATGTATTAACCTGTAAAGTTAGCTCTTGTATCACTGTTGCATACTAGTCGTAAACATATGATGTGCCCAAATTAGTTTATCCTAATAGACAAAGACAACTCATAGCCTCATAGCTCATGTTATCCGATTATAGACAAGTTAACCAAAGACACTAAACATGCAATAAGCCAGTTATTGTTAAACTATTGATTATCGAACGCTGGAAGCGTAGACTTCTGGATTCCCAAAGAACTAAATCATACATTGATAGAACATAGCATCACCTCCAAATATGAACCAAATGCTATTGTATTAAGTGCATATCTGTTAATAACCTTAATTAGTGAAGCATCGCACCTGTTAAGACTGGTAGAATTGTTAATAAGATAGATGATGTAGTCCTAACCGATCTAGATATATAACAAAATGCTGGCTGCCGGATGACATTCTTGAACTGAAACAATCAAAAATGAGTGTTTGCCATCTCAAACAAAGTTGCAATACACCTCAGAAACAACAAGGGGCAAGTCATTTTATTTGGCTA